GTGGAGCCGCTGGCCGGGCTGCCAGCCTCGGCGCTGGCGTTATGCGGGTCACTGAGGGCTGAGTCCATAACGAAGCTGCGCTCCGGGTCCGATTCCAGTTCCGGCCGCTGCATCAGGAGATGGGCACTGCGGGGAAAGCCACGTTCCCCTAAAGAAACAGGAAGTGACGTGCCTCCCGCGCCGCCAGGGCCGCGCACGCGTGCACGTCTCTGCACCCGAGCGCCCTCTAGCGGAGGCGGAGGGCCCGGCGGCCGGTTGCTAAGCAACTTGCTAGATGCGATCAAGAAAGGATCACGAGACCCCTGCGGTAGGCGTCCCTCCTGAGAGAGACCAGAGTATCCTATTCTCAGTCTCAGTGGACTTCCTCAGTCGACCAGACTGTCCCAAAGATCCCAATCCTCATTACTAAGAATTCATCTACTCACGCATGCATTCATCCAATATTCCATTGTTCCTTCACTCCTTAAGTATTTCAATATCCCATTATATGCCAGGCACTGTCATAGGCTCTGAGGACACTGAGAAGGAATAATGTTAGGGGAAAAAATAGAATATTGGGGACTCGCTATAGTTATAAGAAATATTAATCATGCTCTGTTAACCGTGATGGCCTTCTTCTGATTAAAGAAAGGACCTTCTAACCTGACTGGGAGTTGTACGCCCCGGGACCTGGGAGTCAACTTTAGACCTGGCAGTCAACCTTGGACCTGGGAACCAACTTGGAATGTGGTCCCTTCTCATTCAAGAACTACCTAATATCACGGAAGGAATAACGACCTTGTTGCCCAAACAATGGAGTCCCACCCCAGCCCAAATTGCATACTTCCCCAAGCATGTAATCCCTACTTCCCCATGTAATCTTTGCCCTTCTTCTCAATATAAGCAGCTGGCTTATGGAAGGTTGCAGAGCTGGTTTTTGTGGATGACCCGCTGCTCTCCCATACCGCTGGCATTATTGGAATAAACGTTCTTATATGATTCAACCCTGTCTCTGCTTAATTGGCTCAAGTAGTGACAGGCAGCCTGGACCCACTGGTTGTCCGGTTTCAATAATACAGGCAAATGTCTGTCCCTGCCCTCGTTAAGCTTGCATTCTTAGTTTGGTGGAATGGGTGGTGGTGGTGTTGGGAAAACAATATATAACATGAACAAAATAAAATATGAAGTCTATAAGATGCTAGTGTTTAGTTATATGTTACATAGCATGTTAATGGAGATAAGTAATTTAGAGAGGCCTCCCTCTCTGGGAACCCACTACACTTCTGTATATGGCTTGGGCCAGGGTGGTTCCAGACAGTTCCACAGGGTGAAGTTCAGGTGGCTGTCTGTGTAGTTGAGCAGCCCTGTGGGGCTCCCAGGGTGTGTGTGGTCAGGGATGAGGAGCGGGTGTGGGTAGGAGTGGCCTGGACTTGGCTGCAGGCCCCTGCTGTCTGGGGCTCCTGGCTATGTCACTGCTGCCCTAGTTAAGAGCTGGAGAAAGTGTGTCAGACAAACTGGAGAAAGCTGCAACCTGCAGGCACCTAGCACTGGCGAAACTTTGAGCCAAGCAGTGGAGAAGAAAGCCTGCGTTCCAGAACCCAGGAAATGAGCCATCTAGAACCAGGAGGGGAAGATCCATTCTCCTCCGGGGCCTTCTAGTATACTCTACTGAAAAGGTTTATCGTGCCAGCTGGCAAAGGAGAATTTTTTTTTTTTTTTTTTACTGTAAGAGGACATTTATTTGGTAAATTACACGGGTAAAAGTAATTCCTAGAAGAAGCCGATAACCCGAACGGTGAGCTGAGGTATTTTCCGGGGGTCGTGTCTCGCAACACCGAAGAATGAGCTCTGTGGACCAGAAGACTTAAGCAAAAGTGTGGAAATTGATTACAAGCTGATTGAGACTCCCCTCGAGGGGAGGGGGGCCCCAGTAACGGGCTGTCTGTTAAAGCCTTGTAGCCCAGGGGTGTATATTTGCTACAAGCCTGTTTCTGTATCCATGTCATCACCTGATTGATTCCCTCATTGTTCTTGCCCAGCAACGGACCTGAACTTTCCCTGTTTCTGTGTGTTCTTTCTCTGTCCCTATGCTGAACTTTCCCTGTTTCTATGTGTTCTTTCTCTGTCCCTATGCTGAACTTTCCCTGTTTCTATGTGTTCTTTCTCTGTCCCTATGCTGAACTTATCTCTGTTTCTATGCATTCGTACACCTTATTGTTGCAGGCCCTCCCTCGGTTTCCCTGGCCTCCCGCTTTGAGTCCAGAAACATTTTGTTATTCCTGCTTGGTTGGTTTCTGTGATTAGGCTGCTCAAGGGCCGTGTCTGCCCCTGCCTATGTCCCACCTGCCTTTGTTTTCCACTGGACCCCTGCCCTGCCTGCCTGCGTTTCAAGTTAACCCTCTCAAAATGGGCTTAGGAAATGAGTTATGGAGGTAAAGGAAGGGCCCTTGGAGCTTGGGAGAGAGGAAGCTAAAGGTGATGTGCCTGGGGGAAGGGAGGAGGGGGGAGGGGAGGGGAGAGGGAAAGGCATGGCAGGCCTGCTCCAGGGAGGGAGGGAGAGCACCCAAAGGAGAAATCTTTACAAGGCTCAGCTCCATTATCACAGAGCTGGCAAAAAAATGGGTTTAAAGCTGAGAGGCAATGAACTGATAGACGGCACGGATGGTGTAAAATCACACGGCTTGGTCCTAGCTTAGCCGGTGGTGAGGAGGGGCTGGAGCAAGGGGTTCATGGTGAGGGGAGACAAAGGCAAGGAGTCGGACTATGGAAGTTTGAATAGTAGGCTGTTTGCTGAGTACATTCCAGGCACTGTACTAACTTTATGGGTGTCTTCTCTGATCCCAATAACGCTAGTAAGGGAAATTGGTTCACTTTTATAGATGACTCAACTAAGCCTCACAGAGGTAAACTAGCTAGCCCAGGTCATACGGTCAGCAGTGGGAGAGGAGAGACTCAGTGGGAGAGGAGAGACTCAGGGCTGTAAGACTCCAAAGACTTTGCTCTTTCCAACATTCTAGCTACACAGAAGGCGAAGGAGTTTGGACCAGAGTAGCTTAGTTCTGGGCAGATGGTGTCAATAAGCTGGACATACCTTAGTGAATGGGAGAAGGCCGTGTGCCTGATGAAATCACTCATCAATAATTCAGGCTGCTGGGCCTCATGGCTCTGAGCCTCCTCATCTGAGAGCTTACAACCGGAAATCAGAGACACACTTGCTTCAAGCTAGGCCGAACACTGGATTTAGTTTGGCCCAGAGCAGATCTGGCCATCTCCCTCTACACTCCAGGGTGGGAGACTGTGACTGCGACCCAGGGAACTGACGGGTTGACCCAAGTTCAGAAAGCTCCTGTCAAGGGTTGGATTTCCGGCTTGGGTCTACCTGTCTTGATATTCTCCAGAGATGCGGATGAGACAGTCTGAGGGTGGGTGCCTCCTGTATACGGCTGCTTTTCCAGAGGAGATCTGAGCTGACATCAAGAATGGAGGTTGTTTAGAGCCTGGGATAGATAAATTACCAAATATTTGTTCCAAAGAACAAATGCAGTCCTTCCCCCACCTCTTTTCACTTATTATTATACTAGAGGCCCGGTGCATGAAAATTCATGCACTCGGGGAGGGGGGTTTTCCTCAGCCTGGCCTGTACCTTCTTGCAGTCCGGGACCCTCGGGAGATGTCTACCTGCTGGCTTAGGCCCAGTTCCCTGGGGATAAGGCCTAAGCTGGCAGTCAGACATCCCTCTGGCAGCCCAGGAGCCCTTGGGGGGACATCCTTAGTGCTGCCGAGGAGGAGGGAGAGGCTCCTGCCACCGCTGCTGGATTCAGTCACTATGAATGCGTTTACAATTTAAAAATTTTTTCCTCATACACACACATACACACACACACACATACATTTGACACACAGTATTACATGCTTAAATAGTTCTGTCAACAGGGCTTGTGGCTGAGTGGAGCTCCCACTTTGGGAGCGCACTGACCACCAGGGGGCAGCTCCTGCATTGAGCATCTGCCCCCTGGTGGTCAGTGAACGTCATAGTGACTGCTCATTCCCAGTTGTTCTGCCTTTAGGGTCAATTTGCTTATTACCCTTTTATTATATAGGATTCAGTCACTATGAATGTGTTTACAATTTAAATTTTTTTTTCACACACACACACATTTGACACACAGTATTACATGCTTAAATAGTTCTGAATATAAGAAGCAAGGATCATCAATGAATACTAAAACTATTGAGAGAAAGGCTGTTAAGGTACTATTTTAAAGTGTTGCCCCACAGATTACTTATCCTATCTAATAATAGACAAACATGGTAATTGACCGTATCTTCACTATGCCTCCCATTGGCTAATCAGTGAGATATGCAAATTAACAGTTAACAAAGATGGCGGAGTGAAGACTGAAGGTGGCTCCAGCCGGAGCGAAGGCCTGGGTCCCGGGTGCCAGAGGAAAACTGGTGCTGGCAGCCAGGGGAAGGGAAGGCCTACTGCATAATCTTTTCGTGCAACAGGCCTCTAGTTAATTATAAAAGGAAGACGTTTCCTTGACATGGAGTGATCTGGTGGGCACTCCCCTAACAAAAGGATCAAACTGAGCATCACCAGATAGGATGGGACAAAACGGCAAGATGCAATGCAATGTGGGGGACACCACCTGTGTAATCTTGCCAAACATGTTTAAACTGCATCTACTCATGAGGAAACCAGAAAAGTCAGGATTGTGGCATATTCTATAAGACAGCCTGGACTCTTAAAAAATGTCAGTGCCGCCCAGGTGGTGTTGTTCAGTGGTTGACCCATGAACCAGGAGGTCACAGTTCCATTCCTGGTCAGGGCACATGTCTGGGTTTTGGGCTCGATCCCCAGTAGGAGCTGTCTCCTTCTTCTCTCTCTCTGAAATCAATAAAAACATGTTAAAAAAAAGTCAGTGCCATGAAAGAAAAAAAAAAATCCATGAGATTGTTGTAGATGAAAGGAGACTAAAGAAAGGTGAAAACCAAGAGTAATGTATCATTCTCGATGACACCATTTTTCTGAAGAAAATGCTCAGACAAGTGGGGAAGGTTGAATACGGATTGTTGGGGTGTGCTAATGGCATTGTGGCTCTGCATCCCTTTTTAATCCAGGTGTGGTCCCCAGATCAGCAGCATCAGCATCACCTGGGAGCCCATGCGGACGTTCAGGTTCCCCCCAGACCTACCAGGTCTCCAGATGATCCACATGCACTTTTAGCTTGAGAAGTGCTAGTGGAGGAGACTTCCTTAATTCGTAGAAGGTATATTCATTCTCTCATGAGCCAGGTGGTCCTGGGTTTTTGATCCTTGTGAGAGAATGGGCTTGAAAGCAGTAAAACTCTGTATAAATGTTTACTGTTCTTATTATCTGTTGAGACCACGGGGCCTTTAAATATATGTGCTCAATAAATATTTGTATAAATGAATGAATACATTGTTTCCTCCACTAAATCTTTTTCTCACCCCACAACCCTGGTTAACCCTGAACCATCCCTCAGAGCTGAGTCAAATGTCATCTCTTTAGGAAACCTCAGGAGCTCCTGTCTTTCTAGCAGGGTGGGGCCCCCACTAATGTCACGGGGTTTTACTAAAGTAGAAGAAACAGGGAGAAACCTGTGCCCCATAGCTCCTTGCATTAGGGCTGGAATCCTCACCTGGGGAAAATTTTTGGAGGCTCAAATAGCTCATGTGAATTGTGTCTTTAGCTCCACAGTCCTAGAGAAATTCTCGAACAGGTCTACTAGGGGACATGTCCAAGGATTTCTCTGCAGTTTTTTTTTCTTTTCTAAAATATATTTTATTGATTTTTTACAGAGAGGAAGGGAGAGGGATAGAGAATTAGAAACATCGATGAGAGAGAAACATTGATCAGTTGCCTCATGCATGCCCCCTACTGGGGATGTGCCCGCAACCAAGGTGCATGCCCTTGACAGGGATCGAACCTGGGACCCTCAGTCTGCAGGCCGATGCTCTATCCACTGAGCCAAACCGG